AAATCAGTGTTGTAAACAGGAGTTGTTTTCCAGTGGGCGCCTGGTGCTCTTCCTCGAGTTCTGCCCATTGTAGTCTTTGCCGTGCATCGCTTTCAGTCACAAATCTGTACCGTGATTAATTCAGCGGGGGAAGGAAAATTCCCAAGGCTCAAAATGTGATATGCCTATCTTGATAGACCCAGGATTTTATTATGTATAAATTTCCTTTGTTATCAGCTTGTGAAGTCTTGGAGTTGAAAGCTGTCTTTGAATAATTTCCTTGTCTGTAGCAGTCAGTGTGAAATAATTTTGAGTTTTTCTAGACTGCTTTGCTTGTCTTGAGCCAAAGGCATCACTCTGGTGTGACTCTTCTCTAGTTTTTGCTACAGAAGGCAAGTGACCCTCAGATTTGACTGTGGCCTCTGATGTGTCAATGCAAGAGACTTGCCTCAGACCTGTTGTCAAGCCCCATAATGAAGCTCCTCTTACCCTCAAACCAAACTGAGCTTTGTTGATTTATCTTTTTCTTTCTTCCTGCTACATACTCTTATCAGAGTATGCTGCATTCTCAAATGCTCCATGTTGTTTCACGTAACAATATTTATAACGCAGCTTGATAAAAAGCGGGAGTGGGAAATGATGTGCCGAGTGAAGCCAGATGTTGTCAAAGACCGAGACAGAGAAAGAAATCTTCAGAGAATTGCCACGAGGTAAGAGTTTTTCTGGACACTTTCCTTAAATACATGTATATTGAAAAGAGGAGGAAAAGGGGAAGAAAAAGCCTGCACAGGTAATCTGTTTCCAATCAGATTGAACCCTTAAGAAGGGACTAGCAGGAGCTGAGTGATTTATATACAGGTCTGCATTGTACAGTATCAAGTTCAACAGAAGATTTCGGAAGCTTTATGAAAGAGTAAAAAATTTAGATGAGAATGTAATGTTAGCTTAACAGAAGTGCTTTGTTGGATCCCCTCATTTTGTTAATTTAATGCTTTAAAAATGTAGAACAGTTGTTCCTACTACTCTGTTTTATCCTTCTCTGGCGAGGATTCACCAGATCCACAGCTGTTAAGTTCAGTTGCCTGTTCTGCGTTGCAGTAGTTTGGTGTCACAGAAGTAGTTGAACACCTTGATGTGGTGTCTGTATCTGTCTCATTACTCATTCTTCTGCCTTGTGCCCCTACTTCAGCTTCTCTTAAGATCTTGCCTGAGGAATTTAATAGCTGATTGTAGGACAAATAACATGCTTCTGGGCATGAAATGTGCTCTTGCGCTGATCTCAGTGCCATCTTACCATGCTTATTCTGGGGTTGGAATAGTTATTTGTGGATTTGTTTGTTACTGGTTCCTAGCAATATGTGTGAAGGAAGAGTGAAAATTGGAAGTCTCTTACATTGTAGTCAATGTTACTTCTTAACTGAATTGAGGTTCTAAGTAACCATTTTGGGGAAGTAGAAGCCGTTCAGCATACGCGCTGATTAGTTGCTTTGGTAGAGGGTTCATTTCTGTAAAGGGAACTGGAGTTAAAAAACTTTGTTTTGTTGTTGTTTTTCCCCATCCCAGAGGTGTTGTACAATTATTTAATGCTGTCAGGACGCACCAAAAGAACGTTGATGAGAAGGTGAAGAAAGCTGGGAGCTCTGACAGGCAGCGTGCTAAACTGCTGTCATCTGTTTCAAAGAAAGATTTCATCAATGTTTTAAGAAACATGGAGGGTGCTAAAGGAAGCAAGAATCCTGCTGGAAAGGCCACAAAAAGTAAACAGGTAGGCTGCATCTGGGAGAAAAAATGCGTACAAGATACCTTCACAGTATAATTACTGTCCATTAATGTGCCTGCTCTTCGGAACAGCTGTGATGCAAGTGCCTGTCATTTTTTGAGACTACTTGGGAAGGGAGCAAGTAGCTCCTAGCCTGTTTTCCCTGTCTTTTGAGTATCAAGGTACAAAACACTGGAAGCTCTTCTGATAAGACATCAAGCCTTGTGTATGAATAACTTGTTTTAGCTGTGTGTTTAAAAAAAGAAGATTAAAAATTGGGTTTTTTTCTTGGATTTTGCACCAACCATGTAACAAACTGCTAGATTTTAGTGGGTTGTGACATGTAGAATTTGGCCAATAGTAGTTATCAGCTCTTTAAAATTGTTAAAGGCACAGGGGCTCTTCATCTTAAATAGGGTATTAGACTGTACTACGTGTGTGTACCCACAGTTTTGGGCATTTCAGACTCGCTTGTTCTGGATGATTATGGCATCTGGAGCTAAAGGGCTTTGCCATACAAGTGAATACTGCAACAGAAAGAAACTGAGACATATTAAACGTTATGTGTAGGCTTTTTTTTCCCTGATTCTATATGTGTGTTAGGCTGATGTGGCTTTATTGCTGTTACGATGTTTTGGAAAGAAGTATTTTAACACATTCCACTCTTTCTTTTACGTGCTCAAGAGAGGCACAGTGTAGCTGGACTTGTCCAACTCTTCATTGGTTTTTTTAACTCACCAAGTAGCTCAGAGTTCAAAACAAGTTGATCAGACGTACTCTTTCTCTTATTTCAGAAGCTGCTCATTTTTGAAGCGTATTTGTATTCAGGTTTGAACTTTGTGCTTGGTAGTGGGTGGAATACTTCTGTTGGCCCAGACTCACAGCAGTTAACTAAGTGCTTTTCTGTGCCAGGAAGAAACACTTTAATCAGTTGGGAGACAACAGTTTGTCATATGTTTTTTGTTTGTGTGCACTTGGGGAGCATGCTGAAACAGTGCCTGGCATGAAGAGCTCATACAATTTTCATGCAAGTGTAATATTAAAGTATTTTTAAAATTCTTTCGATAATGAGAACAATTTAGCTTGGTGCTGACACTTTATTTCTCCTTAAAGAATTCCAGCTTGCTTGTTTGGGGCAGGGGGGGTGTGGGTGCGCGTGTGGGTCCTTTGGTTGGTTTTTTATTTTTCCTTTTTTTTTTTCCCTCCCCTGGAATAACAGAACAACATCGGAGTGATAGCAGGGCCAACTTCTATTGCAGTAGGCATTGAGTCAATAGCTGAGCAAAAAGTAAGACTTTTTTTCTTTGTCAGATTGTAGCAGAGCAATTTTCTTAATTACTGGGTCAGAAAACATAGATTGCAAATGTTTCTGTACGATAAAAAAGTCTTATTTTGGCAGCATCAGTAACAGCATATTTCCATTAAAGTGCTCTGGAGATGCTTTAGATGCTGGCTGGTTAGTGTCGGTTTTGTGTCCAGATATAGGTGCTGCTTTCACATTGCTTGTGAACAAAAACTTCAGATTTTGGAGTTTTTCATTAATATAAGGCTATACTTGTAGGTTTGGGCTTTTTTGTTTGGGAAGGCTGTTGGGTTTTTCAGTTGTGTGGGGTTTTTAATAGCCATGTCTGCCTGGATAGATCATCCCTTTCCGTGTTTGTTTCATTGACTCTCCATTAGGTACTGAACCAAACTCTTCAATAACTCCTTTTCAAGCTGCTCTTAATCTGCCTTGTTTTCTCTTGAGAACATATCTTACCCATTTAGCAGGCTCCCATCCTCGTAGTTGTTGATGCTTAAAGTTGAGGCCAAAATCTGATCTTCGGTCTCCTCCTCAGAATTACACAGATGTGTAGCCACTGTATGGTACTGCTGGCCTCCACTGTCATATCTCTGCTTCTTGGTCTTTGAGGGTTTTTCAGAGGGTAGGTAAGCAGGGATGAGGCTTTTGGGTGGTGAATTCCTTGCAGCAGGAGTTTGGTAGATTATTTGTGCCATCTGAAAGTGTGTGTTTGGTTTTGTGGGGTTTTTTTGTAGCAGCCTGTTTTGGTTTTAGCAAGTGAGAGTAGGGCATGTATTTAATTTTTTAAAAAGGGGGGGGGAATATATTTATTTCTCCCAACAAAAACATTGGAAGAGATGCCAATCCCAAACTCCAGGCACTCTACCATCAATTAAAATGCAATCCAGAACAACAAAAACATTACCCCACCCACATAAAACAAGCAGTCAGCAAGCAAAATAGCAGAATAAAGTTTTCACAGTGAAAGCAAACCTTTCTTGACTCAAGCCTTGTGCTGTGAAAGGCAACTTGACTATATTTGTGAGAATGGGCAAATGCTTTTTCTTACTCTACAGTGGCTTTTAAATGCAAGATTTGCTGCCATATTTTTGAAAGTTTGGTGGTTTCTTCCAAATGTCAGGGGTTGTTGAAGAAACCCCTTATGAATTTCTGTTGAGGTTGACTGTTTAGTTGGGTATATGTATGTGTGAAAACAAGAAATTAAATGCTCTGTGAAGGCCCGTCTGTAGCAGTGGTATTTCACAGTAGCACATCCACTTAAAAAAGGTTTGTTCTCTATTTCCATCAGCTTCATGCATTGATGGGAAGGACAGGTAACCTGTGCCCTGTAAGAATGTTGTTTATAGTCTTGCATACTTTTAGCCATTGGCCTAGATATTACTTGGTGTACACCCCCCCAATGTGGCTATGAAAGAAAGACTGTGGCATGTGAAACCATAGCCCTTCTTGGGGTTTTGTGTGCCCAGATGGGAGTAATTACTTTTATGAGCTGGAGCCAAAAGCTTTGCCTTTCATATCATTAGCTGTTTATCAAGGTATTTCTTAATCCTTGCTGAGCCAGCTGACGTGTACTATTTTTTCCCTGTTTTTTTCCAAGGTACTGTACATGATGCTTGCCTCTGGGTAAAATCATCTGATTTCCCTCCCCTCACCACCTTATCTGAAAGCCTTGCAATGTGGGAGAAAAATGTAATAATTTTATCTTTTTAAAATCCTGCTTGTTTGTTGTTTGGGTGGGGGCTTTTTTTAAGTTTTGGGGTGGGTTTTTGGGGAAGTATTTTTTGGGAGATATGAGAGCTTTCAATCTTGTTCAACACAGTACTTACAGACCAGATTTTAATTTCAGTATGTGTGGGTTGTATCTTGCAGCTTCCCAGGTGTAAGATGCTATAAAAAACATTAAACCGTGGGTATAAAAAAAGGTACATATTGGAGATACTGCCTTTCCAGCGACAAATATTCTTTGTGACAAGCATAACCTGCACTCATTAACCTTTAATTTTGAATTAGGCCTTTGTAGCATGGTTTTCTGAATCACTTCTGTTTACTTCAACTCATAAGTTTTCTTACACCAGATCTGGTGTAGAGCATTTCAGTGGTGGAAGTGAGAGCAGGATTTCCTGATCTGCTTCAGTAACCATGATCCAAATTCTGCAAGGCAGTTTTTCCACATGACTTGGAGGTACAGTTTGTTTCCTGTGTTGTGATGGCATCTGGAAAAAATCGGTGTACTGATCTCAGAATAGTATTTATTTTAAAATTAATTATTGATGGGAAGGAAGATGAGCTGAGATTCCTGTGTTGTGATGGCATCTGGAAAAAATCGGGAAGGAAGATGAGCTGAGGATACAAGTGCTATTCCATATCAGCTGTTGCTCATACAGGACTTGAAATACAGTGCTTTTCCAGAAAAGTTCCTTCTGCCTGAAGGCGTTTTTAAATGCTCCTAGCGTTTGGTAAGTAATTTGTAAGCACAGTGGTTAGAGTCAGGTTTACTACAGATTTTTTCTTTTGTTCTTAAGACTTTATATATTCATAAATATTCTAATTTTAAGCAGTTGTTTGAAGATTATTCAAGGGCAGGAGGAGTACTACACATCCGACTTTGATTGCTGTTCTTGCTGGGACACAAGAAGTGGCATGGGAGCTTTCATTTTTCAAGTTAGATGACGATATAAATGTGCTTTCCAGCTTAAAAGTTAGATCTGTTTAAAACCTGTGAGAGTGACTGCCTCCTTTTTCTTGCAGCTGCATAAGTACTTGCCATTGGCATGTTGTTCTGCTTTTTTTCCACAGTTTCCACAGTGCAGAAATGGGGAGGGGGAATAAAAAGTTTATTTTTATCCATATACCTGTTTGGAGGGACAGTAGTCTGAACAATGGCTTCAACCAGCTGTAGGAAATAGTTTATTTCTGAAGTATGGATGAAGGGCATAGATGACTTCTGGAGTTCTGGTAAGGTATATCAACATGTCTTTTAATCTTCAAAGGAAACTTTTTTTTCTTAGGTGATAATGATATTGCAGAGTAGCAGAAGTTTATTGCTACAGCTGTTGTGTGCTCGTTTTACAGAACTAATTGAAGGAGTAACCAGGCATGCATGTATTCCAGCAGATTTGAGGGGGCAGCCAAGTATTAATTTAGTTCAGCTGCAGCCAGAGTAGATGCATTCTCCCAATCTTAATAAATGTCTTCCCATCACATGCACAGAAACTTTTAATTTGGATTCCTTTCTAAATCGTGCATTTGTATCTGTGTTTTCCCAAATGTGTGTACACTTTCTTGAAGGTCACCTCATTTATGTTTGGGGCTGATGCTTTTAATGTATTTTTTTGGTTTTGTACCAAAAGGTTGCTGACTACCTAAGTCTATGCTGTATTCTAATTTTTATCCTTAGGGATAAATACAGTGCAGCCTGCCACCTAAATTCCTTATGTTCTTTAAGGTGAAGGCTTGTTGTGCAATATTAGTTGTCTGATGATATTTTTACTTTATATCTGTTTATAGGAAGATGCATTGACTTACCCAGTTTGGGTCATCAGCAAGGTTTGGTTTTTAAGATGTACAAGCTCAGTTCTCTATCTGTTGCCATAGCTGGTAGCACACATCTGTGTTAATGTGGGAATGTAGGTTTTTGTCAGTATTTAAATATGTGTTTGATTGATAGATGTCAAGAACTTGCCAGTGTGAGATCAACTACAGA